TCCCCCCACCGCCGCCACCCGCTCCAGGGTGTGGAAATCAGAGGAGTGCTGTGAAACCCTGCCTGCTCCCAGCCAGCGAATGCGCCCAGCCAGCTCCCCACTCGCTGTCATTCATTTCCGCTCAGTTATATATATTGTTCTGCCTCTCTCTCAGCTATAGAGATTTAGTTGGATTTGCTGCTTCCTTTTTTTTTTGTGTTTTTAAATACCTGATGAGTATGGAGACCCCAACGTCCTCGCAGTTTGCATATACTCTGCTCCATGTCTCTTGAATAACCTTTTTTTCTGCGTCTGAAATCTCTTCACTTCTTTCCCATCTCTCAATCTCCATTTCTCCCTGGACTTTCTCCATGAAAAACAGCCGGCACGATCCTCCGGGAAGCCAGGAGGAGATAAAGAGAGATGCGTGTGAGCGGGTATATCCTGCGAGGAGAGACAAGGTGTTTGCTCAGCGGCCGTGCGGCTGCTGGCGGCTCTGCCGACGTGTGGATGTATATGTGTGCGTGCGAGCGCGGCTGCCTGTCGGCGTGTTTATATATGTAATTTAAAAAAATATCCTGGAGGTATGATGCATGCGATTAGATTTCAGAGCTCCTAGGGCTGTCCGTGGCTGTAGTTAGCTTCAGCTCGGCTCAGATGTGTGTGGCTGACTGATAGGGAACTGCCTAAAAGTAAAATATTCAAAGGCATTGCAAGACCAGCCTCTTTACCAATGTGTGAACGTGAGCTCACTTTCTCCCTCTCTCCTCCTCTCTCCCACTCCTCCCTCCTTCCCTTTTTTTTCCTCCCCGAAAGGGAGGGATGAGGGAGATGTTCTGGGCAACATCAGGACGGTGCTGGGGGGGCAGGTTAGGGCTGGAAGTTTTTTCGGCACTTGTAAACAGCTCAGAGGAAATTCAGAACCCGAAGTGCCGAGTTAAAGTTATCCCAAGCGCTGGCTGCGCTGGGCTCTGCCGCGGCTCTCCCCCTCGCGCTCCCTTATTTTGCAGGGGCTGTGCTCTGCAGGACGGACCCTCGCTCGTCCCCGACGCCCAGGCTGCACGGAGAGCGAGGTGCCCCCACCCGCCGGCATCGCTCTGCCACCCAAAGGAGACCGTGGTCTGTCCCACGGGGACTTGTTCATGACAAGAATTTGCTCTCCCTTCTCGTGGTAGGACCGAATTGTAAAGGGGCGCAGAGTTAAGGCACTCGTGAAACGCGTACGTTATTGTTGTTCTGCGATCGCATCGCTCCTGGCGGCGCCTTGGCAGGGGCGAGGAGCGCGGGAGCACCTCCACGCCAGGCTTCCCGCCGCCTTCGTGCCTGTGCTTTCGGGCTGTTTTCTACCCAAATGCCATTTCCAGCTCCCTGACAATCCGGCATATTAAACCCGCAGCATGGTCCATTTGCACAGAGAGACGGAAAATACTACAGAGACTTGTAATAACCGACAATCCCCCAGAGGGGGATCAGAGACAAGGGAAGCAGCCTGGTGTGCACGGCTGCCTCCCGCACCCGCTGCGCACCCTTGCAGGGCGGGCAGACAGACAGACGGACAGGCAGGCGGAGGGTGCAGCTCTGACACCCGGGCAGGCAGGGGCTGGGGGGTGGCTGAGCCCCTTTGGGGGCTGGAGCTTTGTTATTGCAGATCTGTCGAGGCAAAAAGCTGTTATTTCTCCTCAAACCCAGCCTTGGTTACCAGCCGCCAGACCGGCAGTGTCAGCAGATTTGCTCTTGCAGATCTAACGAGAGCTGGCGGAGAAGATGCTGCCCACGGCCCCCCCTCCGTGGGTCCCCGACCACCGTTGCGCTGGGACTGAGTGGGAGCCCCCCCATCCGTGAACCCCGCTTGGCTTGGGGACACAAAGCTCAGCTGGGAGCTGCCGAACCCAGCAGTGTGCAAGGAGAGCAGCGCGGCCAGCCCTACCCGCTGGAGGTCGGGCATCATTCAGGTCACCCACGACACCACCACCGGCTTCAAATCATCAGATTTTCACCAGCCACTTAAAGTTTGGATTTGCCTCCTGTCCATTAGCCACCGGGATTAGCACCCGCGAGCCCAAGCTCAAATATCAACTACCGTGTTCCCAGGTGGCCACCACGCAGCAGAGGATCCCCTCTGGACCCAGGGCGGCAAGGCCAGGCTCATTGCCCTGCCTTAAAAACGCAGGGGAAGAGGCGCTGCGCTTAGACCCGGCTTAAAACCAGAGCAAAACTGCAACGCAGCGCCAGCGCTTTCAAAAAGGGAAAAAACTCAAATTCTGACAAATATGAACAGGCGGGCGATGATCTGGGTGGAGCATTGGTTAAGTTATCACTCGCTGCGTGTTTAAAGAAAAGGACGCTTCGAAGGTTTTGTACCTGGTGCCTTGGTCAATACTGGGCTCACAGCCTGGTGCCTGGCTGCACGGTGAGCCTGGCTGCAGCGGGCGCTCCTCCTCCAAAGCATCTTGGCTCAAGAGTCTCCATCTAGAAACATTAGAATATTAGAAAATATTAGAAAAGTAAGTGAGAAATCCTCCAGCCTTTTCAAGGTTTCTGCCCCCCTCTTTGGGGACATCACATCTGGCGCTGGCAGGGGCCCAGCCCCGCTCCCACGTGCCATCCTGCTCCACAAGCAGGAGACGGTGAGCGAAGCGGCGGCGATGCTTCACTGCCTCAAAAATCCCAAGCGAAACCCAACAGCCCTGAACTTCTGCATCTCGTCCCAGATGCGAGACATAAATCAGGGGCAGGAGCACAGGCACACGCTGTCACGCGCCAGCCGCCCGTTTCCATGGTTTCCCGCGACTATTGCTCTCGAGGGCTCGGGGTTAGGAGGCGACTTATTCCAGAAGGAGAAAGATGCTGCGTTGACACCATTGCTGCAAAATCCCGGCTGGGGATTGCACTGGCAGGCAGGCAGCATGGCCCCGCGACGCCCTGCCAGCATGTACAGCCCCGAAGCGACGCGGGTGACCCCCTGGTCCCTTTGGTGCAAGGTGCTGTGCGGAGGGAGGTGGCAGCCCCGCGGGCTGGGGTGCCATTTGCTCGCCCTGCCCAGCCCAAGCTGCCCCCGGTCGCTGCCTGCTGCCCCAGAGAGGAGCTCAGCACAGGGCCCGCTGCTGTGGCAGGGTGGCCTGGGGCCATGGGGCTCAGGGATGGGGACAGAGGGCTTGTTTCCATGGCCAGTGGAAAGGCTGAGATGGGATCAGCCTGGGTAACTCATATGGAAGAAATCACTCCACATCTCTCAGTTCCCAACTCATTTCAACACCCCGATCCCTCTCCCCTCTCCAGCTGAGCATCGCAGCTCTCCTGCTATCCACCTCCTTCCCACGGACTCGTCCCCACAACGAGGTGGCACCATGGTGCCAGCCCTGCCATCGGGGCCCTGTCTCTGCCGAACCCCAGCCTGCTCCTCCCGCAGCTTCTGCATGGCAGGGAGAGATCAAGTGCCTGTTCAAGCCATCCTCCATCTGCATGGCCGCAGGGGGTGAGGATGGGTTTCCAGGCCCTCCGAGCCTCCGCTCGCAGCGTGCCGTGCTCCTGCGGGGTCTGTACCCACCTGCCGACGGCTTCTCCCACTCCCCCCGTGCCCTCCCACATCGCCTCTCCCCCTCCCCGCATGCTGGGTGCAATAAGAAATGTACTTGGCTCCCGATCCTTGAGTGGGAGGTGAAGGCAAAAAATCCGAGACTTCAGCTCCACGGCGTGTGGGATGTGGATGATGGCAGATCCCCACCCTTGACTCCTCCACTGTCTCTGGGGCGAAGGCGGAAACCCCAAATCCAGACCCTCGGGGCTGAGCCCACCTTCCCTCATGCGTGGGGACAGACTCGTTATTTGGTTCCTGGAGAAAAGCGGGTGACTTCTTGTGTCCCCTGCAAAGCCAGCTCCCTGGGACCTTCCGACAAACACCGTTAGTTGGGGTGGTGCCGGGAAGAGACCCCGCGAGCAGCCTCGGGGAGCGCTTTGAGATGTTGCTGCAGGAGCTGCCCCGAGCCCTTGGCGCTGGCGCGATGCTGGGAGGCCAGGGAGGAGCGCTTCTCCAGACCCTCCAGACACCGACCTGGCCAGAACAGGAGCAGTCCTGGGATTTTACGTGAAATAAGGCTGAAGGCTTCAGTGTGGTAAAGCCCAAGGCACCCAGAAGAGCAGCCCTGACTCTGCCCCTTTTCCCTCTGAGCTGGACAGGGTGGGAGGTGGAAGATGCTGGTGGGGCTCGTTGTCATTTTTGCTCCCACCGCCGTGCCCGAGGGCTATTGCAGGACACGCGTGCGTGCCAGGTTGGGTGTTCCTCCTTCGTCCCCCTCCCGCAGCCACTGCTGCGCTGTCTCACCTGGAGGTGTTGGACTCATCACCCTGAACGTTGCTGAAACGAAGCCCCTGGGTGCCAGCCTGGCTCACACAGTGTTGCCCCCAGCGTGCAATGCCTCCCCCTTCCTGATCCAGCCCTGCTGCCAGCTGCAAAGTCCTGGCCTGAAAAGGAATAACAAACTTTAGGAAACGGCTTTGCAGTGCCTGCTCCAGCCAGCCCCCCCAGGAGGGAAGGATTTAGCCTAAAGCCCATATAAATGCTCTGTGCGTAGTGCAGGTTTCCTTCCGCTGGCTCCGCTGATCCCAGGAGACCCGTGCGCAATCCCGATGCTCCAGCTCTGCGCCAGCAGTGCCTGTGGCCTGCGCGCCGTCACTGCGGGAAGAGGCTGGAGGACAACGTGCCAGGGGGTTAAAAGGGGCAACAGGAACAGGGCCGCCCCAGATCCAGCTGGGGTGCATCACTGCCTGCCGCTCCATCCCGTGGGGGCGGTGAGCCCACGCAGGACGCTGTGGGATTCTGGTTTAATCATGCAGCCGTTGTCTGCGTCGCTGGCGCGCTTGATCACTAATTTACTCGTAAAGACCAGTAGTATTGAGAAACTAGGATTCCCCCAGCTCCATGTACTCAACATGGCTGGGAAGAGCTGGGCGCGGAAGGCGACAGCGCGGGGGGCTGCTGTCCCCCCTCCCCGGCCCTGCGCAGCCCCGGGGAAGTGAAACCCCGGCTGCCTGCGCAGCGCAAAGCCAGGGGCAGACATTCCTCCTCTGACTGAAACCAGACCTCAGGCGGTGCTGCCGGAGCTGGTGGGGAATGCGCCGAAACCAAACCAGCCCAGACTCTCCTTCTTACATGGAAACAGGGTTCGTCTGCTCAGGGGTCAAAATCCAACAGATGCAGCCTCGTGCAGAGACTGAGGTCTGCGGTGCCACCAAAGGAAACCCCCAGTGGGACCCTGCCCCGAGCCCCCAGCTCCCAGAGGGGACCCCAACCCCTGGGGTCACCCCGACCTCCAGCCCCCCCACACATGTGGGAGCAGGATGGTGCGGGATGCCGGGGACGCCAGCTTGGGGACCGGCACGGCAGCAGCGCCGGGGCGATGCCCGGGAAGGGAGCGCGGGATGAAGGCAGGACCCTCGGCAGCAGCGGGCAGAGGGGAGGCGGGTGGGTGAGACGGGGACAGCGCAGCCTCGCCATGACCTCAAACCTTGTGTCAGCTTTCCACCTCCCTCCCCCAAAAATGCCTGCCAACCCACACAATCTAAAAAACCCCAAGGATTAGGAAATCCAGGGGAACAACAACAACAGTCAGAGAGGGGCCCTGGGAGCAGGGCTGGGCGCTGCCCGGTGCCCGCAGGCAGGGCAGGGCAGGGCAGGGCGAGAAGCTGCTGAGGCAGCCCTGGAGAGGGCTTCCCACCCAGTCCAGCCTGGTCTCGGCCTGGGAACTGTTGCAAAAACCCCCAGTCCCACCCTGGGATTTGAGGAAACTGAAACCTTGTGGTGCAACCAGGAGGGATGAAGCAAGAGGCGCTCGCTCAGGAAGCAGGTGACAGATCCAGCACCACGGGGCTGCACAAGGCATCAGCCGGCGGCTGAACTTCCTCAGACCCTGAGCAGCCTCCGGCATCACCACCTTCCCTTCACCCCCCGTGCCGAGCTCTCCCGCCGGCAGGAACCAGGAGCCCAGCCCCTGTCACAGCCGGACCCTTCAGCTGTAAGCGAGGATGACAGGGTTATTGGGAAACAAGTCGACACTTCCAAACAGATTCTCTTTGCTGCTCTTTTCCTTTCTGAAGCTGGTCTGAGCGTGGCAGGGGTTGCTCAGGAAAGCCAGCAAGCTAATATATTCATGTCATCTTGCATTTGGTGCCAGGACATGAAGTAAACACCGTCAGGGACCTCGCTCCGGTTCAAAGACAAGCCCTGTTTCTTATTCCGATCACATTATCCATGCTCCCCGTACAGCTTCATTGATTCATATCTTAAAAAGAAAGGCCTTCAAAACCCATTAAGTCTGCCTTGCCGTTCCAGCCCTGCTCTCAAGGGCTAGGGCAAGAAGCATTAACTAATCTGCTCACATTACCTTGCCTTTGAACCGAGCATCTCTCGGCGTCAGTCAAGAGTGTTTGGAAGCGATAGGCTCCCGCGCGGGGCCAGTTTCGGCTGCTGAGGTCACCCAATGTCAAGCGAGTGGAGGGACCGGCACTTCGGCATTGCCGCCTGCACCGGGCTCCCTTTGGCCCCCGGGGAGCACCCAGGGCTCGTGCCCACGGAGGCACGGTGGGGCAGCCCACGTTCTGGTCCTCTGTCTGGTTATGGAGGACTGCACAGTTACAAACAAGCCCACGAAGGAGCAAGCTCCTGCGGCTGCTCTTTCTCAGGGCCTTGGACAGCACCTGGGGCGCGAGAGTGGGGACCCTGCTGGTGTCAGCCCGGCTGGGTCTCGGTGAGGGGAGAAGGGTTTGCAAGCAGCGACGTCCTCCCAGGGATTATGAAAGCCACGCTGCCTATTGCCAGGGAAAAGAAGGTCCTTCCATCCTCCTGGGCTCCAGCTCCGCCAGCAGCCGCTGTTTATTTGGCTTCAATGACTTCACAGCATACCGAAACACGCTCCTGGGGGCCCAGCGTGCTCCAGCGCGGCTGGCCGGGACGTTGGGCTTGGCTGCCCCACGCGCTCCCCGGTGCCTTGCATAAGGCAGATCCGCACCCTCCGGCCTGACTTCCACTCAGGAAGAAATTATTCACTCTCGTTTCCATCTGGCTGCAGGAGACGCTTGGGATGTTTCTTCCACCGCCCTCCCGAAGGCTTCCCATCCCGACGGTGCCAGCAGCAAGGCCGGATCTGTGCCCTCTGCCCCCAGCCAACACCCAAGTTCAGGGTTGGGGACTGTTTGCTGGATGGGCTTCGAGGGATTTGGTTTTACTGACATTTCAAGTGCTGCTCATGACTGTTGTTTTTAGGGTTTGGAGCACTTTGAGAGGATGTGTGTACCGAGTGGGGATTAACCACAGCCGTCCCAGGCCCCTGCCATGGCTGGACTCAGGGGGCAGCTCCGGCCCTGGCCGGCCAGGGGTGGAAAGCCAGGCTTCCTGGAAGCTCGGCTTTGCTTTCCCTTGCAGACCCGGTCATTGAACCTGGACCAATCTCTGTTGCTTGGATTGAGTTCTGGTTTCAAAATTCTTTTGCAAGGGGAAGCTGTTTTCCAGCTGAGTTACAGGAATTTTAATGCCCAGCTTGGGGCTTTTCTTGGCCGTGCTGCCGCAGCCAGCAGCCGTCCCACGTCAGCCTCCGCCTTGCTCCCCAGGGCCAAACCGGAGCTGGCGTAAGAGGGCGAACCTGTGGGGCTGTGCGCAGCCCCTGGGCACGGCCCCAAAGAGAGGCACCTCCTGCCTTTGGTGAGCACCAGTGTTACATGCCCCAGGGGCCTCCGTGGCTCGGAGCCCGCTGCCGCGGTGTCGGTGCGGGACAGGCAGTGCTGGAGGTGTGCGCAGCGGAGAGCGTTCACCCGAGGTCCCTCGTGGCAAAGCCCCACGCGGGGACAAAAAACCACGTGGGACAAAAACCCATGGGGGCACCAACCCATGGCTCTGGGAAGCCAGTGCCCGCTGCTCCCTGCCTGTGCCGGGGCTCTTCTCCGGGCCAGGACCTTCGTGCACCGTTGAACCCTACACGTGTGCGTTCACGGGCACGCACGTGCACACACATGGCTGTCTTCCCCTCGCCCTCTCTCTCTTACAGGGGTTTCTTTCCCATTTATTCTCTTTAACCTGAATCCACGAAGTCACTCCAGAAGACGTGTTTTGCATTGCAAAGGGCTGAGCTGGGACAAGGTGTGTGAAGGCACTTCACTGCCCATGGACGGTGACATCTAAGGAGCTTATAGGGGAGGGAAAGGCTTCCCTGGCGAGACGCTGGAAATGGGCACAGAGGGCTGGGGGCAGACCTTGGGCCAGAGCCGTGCCGTGGGGAGAGGTGCGTGCGCTGCTGAGCGCTGGAGAGTGGGGAGGAGGAGGCAAACCCACCCCGGGCAGGGGAGGATGCAGACAAGGTCTCGGGATCAGCTGGCTGAGACGTGTCCGCAGGGAATTACAGGCAGGTCTGAGCCTGTCAGATTAGCAGAGCCAGGAAGGGGGGAGTGGGTTGAGGCAGGTCTGGCAGGAGGAGGGAAACGGGTGCTGGAGAGAAAGGGAAGAGTGGGGGAAAGGTGAGCAAAGAGGGGAGGGAGGCACACGGGAACAGGGGTGCAGAGGGGAGCACCCAGCCCTGGTGGTGATGGGGCTGGTGGGGGCAGGAGGATGGGCTGGGGGCCATGGGATGGACAGGCTGGGAATGGGCTTGGTCCATCACACGTCACCCCCAGTGCCCTCCTGGCCGAGGTGCGGGGCTGGGAACCAGCTGGGGCGGGAGCACCGCACGCCAAAGCCAATTAAGCGCTCAAGGAGTCATGGACCAGCCGCTCGGCTCCCTCCCGTCCGAAGGTCAGAGGAGAGCGTCCTCATTTGTTGCCTCTTAATTACATCTGATCCTGCCCTAATTCCTCCTAAAACCAGCCCTGAGAGCCTTCAGGTGGCTGCTGGGGAGAGGTGCCTGCCAGCCAGGGTGACGGGCAAGCTGGGCACGGGTGACAGCCCCGGGCCAAGCGGTGCCTCCGGGAGGGACGCGAGGGGCCAGCGGCGCTGCGTGGTGATGGAGGAAGCGCCATGTGCACCACCCTCCTGCTCCTCGGCACGCTGGTCATGATGCTGCGGCGCCGCTTCTTCAACAAAGTCGAACCGTACGTCCTCTCCTGTCCCCTTCCCGTCCCCTCGGGGCCCCGGGGCCGGGAGGGTGAGGGGTGGCCCTGGGGTAGAGGATCTAGCTACTCAGCCTAAGACCCATCCTTGGAGATATTTGGTTTCCTTCTAGTTTCGGTCCTCTGGGTGACACCAGGAGACATTCCCTCGTGCTGGGCAGAGGGAGCCTTCTGCGATGTGCTGTCACCTCCTCCCCGTTGCACCAGTGCGAGCAAGGAGGAAATGCGGGACTGGTCCCCTGCCTTTCTGGTGCAAAGGGACAGGGCTGAGCTCCTGGGTTGCTTTTACACACACCGATCAAGGCGTTTCCCAAACGGAGCCGTCCAGCACACTGCTATCCATCCAGGCAAGCAGCCTGGCTGTTTTTGTCTTCATGCCGTGGCTGGGGAGGAGACCGAGCAGTGCTGTCGGCTGTGGGGATGTCACCAGGCTGCCCATGACACCCCAGCAGCGCCCAGCTGGCAAACCTTCACCTGGCGTAAAATAGCCCCAGGGAGGTCCCGCTCCATCCCTGGGGTGCTGGGAGCTTGGGTGAGGGCCTGGGTACAGAAGGTGCCTGAGAGCATCAGCTAAGTGTCGGCTCTCAGAAGAGCCAGCAGCTGCCACCCTGCCGCCGCGGCTCTGTTGCGCTGCGCTCTGTGCCCCCGCACGCTCACACGCACCCTGGCTCCGAGGTGACGGCAGGGAGCAGATGGGAAGGGACTTGCTGCAGTCCCTCAGCAAGGCAATGACAAAGCTGTGACCGGAGCGCAGGGTCAGCTCCCGCTCCGTGCATCCCCGCCGTGCCATGGGCACGGTGCCGGCAGCTGCGGCTGGCCCCACCCGCCGCCCCCCCCGGGT